GATCACCATCACCAACATCACTACCACCACCAACATCACCACCTCCACCACCACCACCACCATCACCATCACCAGCACCGCCATCAAAATCATCATCCCGATCCCCATCACCAACATCACTACCACCACAAACATCATCACCTCCACCATCACCACCATCACCACCATCACTACCACCATCACCACCACCATCATCACAACCATATCAAACTCATCACCTCCTCCACCACGAACACCACCACCATCAACACCACCACCACCACCACCGCCGACACCACCATCAGCACCACCATCACCACCACCACCACCACCATCACCACCACCAACATCACCACCACCATCACCATCAACATCACCACCACCACCTCCTCCACCACCACCACAACCACCACCACAACGCACACCACCACCAACCACCCCAAACTCACCGCTCCATCCGAATAGTTCGACCTCGGACTTGACCCTTCTGACTCCATCGCTCCACCACCACCACCGCCACCACCTCCACCACCACCACCTCCTCCACCACCACCTCCACCTCCACCACCACCATAGTACACCTCGTCCTGCCCACGGAGCATCCCCTGCAGGTTCTCGATGTAGCCGATGGCGTTCCGCAGGATCTCCACCTTGGCGAGCCGCTGGCCGGGGTTTGCCGACGTGAACCGCTTGAGCGTCTCGAAGGCCTCGTTGACCCTCCGCAGGCGGCGCCGCTCGCGCACCGGGGCCGCGCGCCGCCTCTCCGCCGAGCTCGTCTTGCGCTTGCACGCCCGGCAGGCCCACAGCAAGCAGGCGCCCGAGCGCTGCTGCGAAGCGACGCAGCTGGGCGCCCGCACGTGGTCGTGGTCGTCGTCGATGGCGTCGTCGATGACGTCGTCGATGACGACGTCGTCATCGCCGACGTCGTCATCGCCGACGTCATCGTCATGGCCGCCGCCGCCGCCGCCGTCGCCGCAGCGTCTGGCTCTGCCGCAGAGATCTTTCGAAATCTTCTTGCCGCTGATGCCGCTGCTGATGCCGATGCTGATGCTGATGCCGCCGCTGCTGCTGATCGTGTTACTGATGAGCTGCTGCTGCTGCTGCTGCTGATTCTGATTCTGCTGCTGTTCAAGCTGCAACTGTTGCACGTGCTGATGATGCTGCTGCTGCTCGTGTTGTTGATGTTGTTGTTGATGTTGTTGTTGATGTTGTTGTTGTTGTTGTTGATGGTGGTGGTTGTGGTGGTGGTGGTGGAGAGTCGACAGGAGCTGCTGCTGCTGCTGCTGCTGCTGTCGCCCCGGGTCAAAGTTCTCCAGGAAGTCCACCTCCACGGAGTCGAACGGAGACATGGAGCAGTCGTCCACCCCCGGCGCGTAGAAGTTGCCGGCAACGCCGCCGCACAGGGCAAAGTTGAACGGGGTCGACCCCTCCATCACCTCCATCGTCTGCGTCCACCGCCAGGGACGACCTCGCCACCACCACCACCACCACGATGGCCGTCACGAGTTGCCCTGAACTCGGGGGGGGAGGTTGGTTGCCTCGACTTCAGTTGAGTTCAACTTCAGTTTGCGTTTGACTTCTTCAGTTTGCGTTTGAGTTCTTTCAGTTGCGTTCGATCTTTCGACTTCAGTTGCGTTCAACTTCTTACAGTTGTGTTCAACTTCTTCAGTTGTGTTCAACTTCTTACAGTTGAGTTCAACTTCAGTTTGCGTTTGACTTCTTCAGTTTGCCTTTGACTTCTTCAGTTGTGTTCAACTTCTTACAGTTGCGTTCAACTTCAGTTTGTGATTGACTTCTTCAGTTTGCGTTTGACTTCTTTCAGTTGCGTTCGATCTTTCGACTTCAGTTGCGTTCAACTTCAGTGTGCCTTCCACTTAAGTTGCGTTCAACTTCTTCAGATTGCCTTCGACTTCTTCAGTTTGCGTTCAACTTCAGTTTGTGTTCAACTTCTTCAGTTTGTGTTCAACTTCTTCAGATTGCCTTTGACTTCTTCAGTTTGCGTTCAACTTTTCTTCAGTTGCATTCAACTTCTTCAGTTTGCGTTCAACTTCTTCAGATTGCCTTTGACTTCTTCAGTTGCATTCAACTTCAGTGTGCGTTCAACTTCTTCAGTTGCATTCAACTTCAGTGTGCGTTCAACTTCTTCAGTTGCATTCAACTTCAGTTGCGTTCAACTTCTTCAGATTGCGTTCAACTTCAGTCGCCCCAACGACTTTCGTTGCTCTCAACCGAAGTTGCTTGCGACCCAATTGTGTTGCGGCCGGCGTTGAAGTGTCCGGAGCGCCGAGCTTCTCTCGAGGAGTTTGTGGATGCCTCCCGTTCACGGTGGGCGTGCAACCTGGAACACAAGCAACGCAGATCAGTGGTTAGACACAGATAAAGGTGCCCTCGGACAGCCTCTGGCAGGGCTGCAGGGGCAAGTGCTGTGCAGTCGCTAGCAGTAACGAATGGGTGAGTGGGTGAGTGAGCGGGTGAGTGAGCGAGTGAGTGAGCAGGTAGATGAGTGAGTGGGTGAGTGGGTGAGTGAGTGTGTGGGTGAGTGAATGGGTGAGTGAGTGGGTGAGTGAGTGGGTGAGCGAGTGAGTGGGCGAGTGAGTGGGCGGGTGAGTGGGCGGGTGAGTGGGTGAGTGAGTGAGTGGGTGAGTGAGCGGGTGAGTGAGTGCTGTGCAGTCGCTAGCAGTAACGAATGGGTGAGTGGGTGAGTGAGCGAGTGAGTGAGCGGGTGGATGAGTGAGTGGGTGAGTGAATGGGCGGGTGAGTGGGTGAGTGAGTGGGTGAGTGGGTGAGCGAGTGAGTGAGCGAGTGAGTGAGCGAGTGAGTGAGTGGGTGAGTGAGTGAGTGGGTGAGTGAGTGAGTGAGTGGGTGAGTGAGCGAGTGAGTGGGCGGGTGAGTGGGTGAGTGAGTGAGTGAGTGGGTGAGTGAGTGAGTGGGTGAGTGAGCGGGTGAGTGAGTGGTGTGCAGTCGCTAGCAGTAACGAATGGGTGAGTGAGTGAGTGGGTGAATGAATGTGTGGGTGAGTGAATGAGTGAGTGAGTGAATGAGCGAGTGAGTGAGTGAGTGTGTGGGTGAGTGAGTGAGCGAGTGAGTGGGCGAGTGAGTGGGCGGGTGAGTGGGTGAGTGAGTGATTGAGTGGGTGAGTGAGCGGGTGAGTGAGTGGGTGAGAGAGCGGGTGAATGAATGAATGGACGAGTGAGTCAGCGGGTGGGTAAGCGAGTGAGTGGGTGAGTAAGTGGGTGAGCGAGTGAGTGAGCGAGTGAGTGGGCGGGTGAGTGGGCGAGTGAGCGGATGAGTGAGTGGTGTGCAGTCGCTAGCAGTAACGAATGGGTGAGTGAGTGAGTGGGTGAATGAGTGTGTGGGTGAGTGAGTGAGTGAGCGAGTGAGTGAGTGAGTGGTGAGTGAGTGTGTGGGTGAGTGAGTGAGTGGGTGAGCGAGTGAGTGGGCGAGTGAGTGGGCGAGTGAGTGGGCGGATGAGTGGGTGAGTGAGCGGGTGAGTGAGTGGGTGAGAGAGCGGGTGAATGAATGGACGAGTGAGTGAGCGGGTGGGTGAGCGAGTGAGTGGGGGAATGAGTGGGTGAATGAGTGAGCGAGTGAGTGAGCGGGTGGATGAGTGAGTGAGTGGATGGATGAGTGAGTGGGTGAGTGAGTGGGTGAATGAATGAATGATTGGACGAGTGAGTGAGCGGGTGGGTGAGCGAGTGAGTGGGTGATTGAGTGGGTGAGTGAGTGGGTGAATGAATGAGTGAGTCGATGAATGAGTGAGTGGATGAATGCGTGAGTGGATGAATAAGTGAGTGAGTGAGTGAGCGGGTGGATGAGTGAGTGAGTGGTTGAGTGAGTGAGTGGGTGAGTGGGTGAATGAATGGGTGAGTGAGTGAGTGGGTGAGTGAGCGGGTGAATGAATCAAAGGACGAGTGAGTGAGGGGGGTGGGTGAGCGAGTGAGTGGGAGAATGAGTGGGTGAATGAGTGGGTGAGTGAGTGAGTGAGCGGGTGAATGAATGAATGAATGGACGAGTGAGCGGGTGGGTGAGCGAGTGAGTGAGCGGGTGGGTGAGCGAGTGAGTGAGTGAGTGAGCGGGTGAATGAATGAATGGACGAGTGAGTGATTGAGTGGGTGAGCGAATGAGGGAGCGAGTGAGTGGGTGAATGAGTGGGTGAGTGAGTGGGTGAATGAATGGGCGAGTGAGTGAGTGAGTGGGTGGAGGAATGAGTGAATGAGTCGGTGAGTGAGTGAGTGGGTGAGCGAGTGAGTGACCGGGTGGGTGAGTGAGTGAGTGGATGAATGAGTGGGTGAGTGAATGAGTGAGTGAGTGGGTGAGTGAATGAGTGTGTGAGTGAATGAGTCGGTGAGTGAGTGGGTGGGTGAGTGAATGAGTGGGTGAGTGAATTAGTGGGTGAGTGAATGAGTGGGTGAGTGAATGAGTGGGTGGATGAGTGAGTGGGTGAGTAAATGAGTGTGTGAGTGAATGAGTGAGTGAGTGAATGAGTGGGTGAGTGAATGAGTGGGTGTGTGAATGAGTGGGTGAGTGAGTTAGTAGGTGAGTGAATGAGTGGGTGAGTGAATGAGTGGGTGAGTGAGTGAGTGGGTGAGTGAATGAGTGGGTGATTTAATGAGTGGGTGAGTGAGTGGGTGAGTGAATGAGTGGGTGAGTGAGTGGGTGAGTGAATGAAATGGGTGAGTGAATGAGTGGGTGAGTCAATGAGTGGGTGAGTGAATGAGTGAGTGAGTGGGTGAGTGAGTTAGTAGGTGAGTGAATGAGTGGGTGAGTGAATGAGTGGGTGAGTGAATGAGTGGGTGAGTGGGTGAGTGAATGAGTGAGTGGGTGAGTGAGTGAGTGGGTGAGTGAGTGGGTGAGTGGTTGAGTGAGTGGGTGATTTACCTGCCCGCCGACTTTCCAAATCGGCAGCTGACAATCTGCTAAGATCCACGGCTGTCCAATCTCCAATCCACGCAGTCAAGCAGCAGCGAACAGCCTTCAGACTCCAAGTTATACGACTCGGCAGCCAATCACGGCACGTGTTTACTCACCATTTATTTATTTTTAAAAACTTTTCTGGGCGGGGGCAGGGGCGGAGGAGTGGGCGGGGCGTGGGCGGAGTTCGGGGCGGGGCGTCGTTAGCGTAGCCACGCCCACCGACAACTACACACAAAGACGCAGGGAGCCTAGGTAGGCTCACGCAGGGCTGCAGGGGCAAGTGCTGTCGCGAACAGCAGCAGCTGATGCTAACGCCGGGTTTGACACGCGTCACCGGCAGGTTGTTTAAGGCTGAGCCGACCTAGGCGAGGAACAGTCTCGGATTGGTTTGTGAATTGGCTCTCATTCGAGTGGAAGGTGGTGGTGGCCGTGAGTGCTAACCACTGCGCCACCGCTCCCCACAGGCACACGGACACACACACACTCACTCACACACTCACTCACACAATCACTCACTCACACACTCACTCACACACTCACTAACTCACCCACACACTCACTCACACACCCACTCACTCACTCACCCACTCACCCACACACTCACACACCCACTCACTCACTCACCCACTCACCCACACACTTACCCACTCACTCACCCACTCACTCACACACTCACTAACTCACCCACACACTCACTCACTCACCCACCCACTCACCCACTCACCCACACACTTACCCACTCACTCACCTACTCACTCATCCACCCACTTACCCACACACTCACTCACTCACCCACTCACTCCCTCACTCACACACTCACCCACTCACTCACTCACCCAATCACTCACTCACCCACTCACTCACTCACCCACACACTTACCCACTCACTCACCCACTCACTCATCCACCCACTCATTCACCCACACACTCACTCACACACTCACTAACTCACCCACACACTCACCCACCCACTCACCCACTCACCCACTCACCACTCACCCACTCACTCACCCACTCACTCACCCACTCACTCACTAACATACGTACTCACTAACACACTCACAAACTCACTAACACACCTACCCACTAACACACACTCACAAACTCACTAACACACCTACTCACTAACACACACTCACAAACTCACTAACGCCTACTCACTAACACACTCACAAACTCACTAACGCCTACTCACTAACACACACTCACTCACCAACACACTCACTCACTCACCCATTCATTCAGCTACTCACCCACCCACTCACTCACCCACTCACTCACTCACCCACTCACTCACTAACACACCTACCCACTCACTCACCCACTCACTCACTTACACACCTACTCACTAACACACTCACAAACTCACTAATACACCTACTCACTAACACACACTCACCAACACACTCACTAACACCTACTCACTAACAAACTCACTAACACACCTACCCACTAACACACTCACAAAGTCACTAACACACCTACTCACTAACACACTCACAAACTCACTAACGCCTACTCACTAACACACACTCACTCACCAACACACCTACTCACTAACACACACTCGCCCACACACTCACCCACACACTCACCCATTCACTCACTAACACACCTACCCACGAACTCACCCACTCACTCACTAACACACCTACTCACTAACACACTCACAAACTCACTAACACACCTACTCACTAACACACACTCACCAACACACTCACTAACACCTACTCACTAACACACTCACAAACTCACTAACACACCTACCCACTAACACTCTCACAAAGTCACTAACACACCTACTCACTAACACACTCACAAACTCACTAACGCCTACTCACTAACACACACTCACTCACCAACACACCTACTCACTAACACACACTCGCCCACACACTCACCCACACACTCACCCACTCACTCACTAACACACTTACCCACTCACTCACCCACTCACTCACTAACACACCTACTCACTAACACACTCTCAAACTCACTAACACACCTACCCACTAACACACTCACAAACTCACTAACATACGTACTCACTAACCCACTCACAAACTCACTAACGCCTACTCACTAACACACTCACAAACTCACTAACACACACACACTCACGCGTACAGCGACAAAGACAAAGATCCCCCGTGTAGCCTCGACTGCTTGGGGGCAAGTGCAGTGCGTGTGGCGAACTGCAGTAGCGCCGATGTCTGCAGCTCCAAGCGGCATCACCCACGTGGAGGAGGGGGTGGGGGGTGGGGGGAGGAGGTGGGGGGTGGGGGGAGGAGGTGGGGGTGGGGGGAGGAGGGGGGGGCCCTTGACCCGGGGGAACATCCCAAAGCCACCCCCCCCCCTCTCCAGGGACGAGACGAGACACGTGGTGGGTGTAGATGGTTTTGTTGGGTGAGAAGTGTTGTAGTGGGACACGGGTGAGTGGGTGAGTAAGTGGGTGAGTGGGTGAGTAAGTGGGTGGGTGGGTGAGTGGGTGGGTGAGTGGGTGAGTGAGTGGGTGAGTAAGTGGGTGAGTGGGTGAGTGGGTGAGTAAGTGGGTGAGTAAGTGGGTGAGTGAGTGAGTGAGTGGGTGAGTAAGTGGGTGAGTGGGTTAGTGAGTGGGTGAGTAAGTGGGTGAGTGAGTGAGTGAGTGGGTGAGTAAGTGGGTGAGTGAGTGGGTGGGTGGGTTAGTGAGTGGGTGGGTGGGTTAGTGAGTGGGTGAGTGAGTGAGTGGGTGAGTGAGTGAGTGGGTGGGTGAGTGGGTGGGTGAGTGGGTGGGTGAGTGGGTGAGTGAGTGAGTGTGTGAGTGGGTGGGTGGGTGAGTGAGTGGGTGGGTGGGTGAGTGAGTGGGTGGGTGGGTGAGTGAGTGTGTGAGTGGGTGGGTGGGTGGGTGAGTGAGTGGGTGGGTGGGTGAGTAAGTGGGTGAGTGGGTTAGTGAGTGGGTGGGTGGGTGAGTGAGTGGGTGGGTGGGTGAGTAAGTGGGTGAGTGGGTGACCAAGTGGGTGAGTGGGTGAGTAAGTGGGTGGGTGGGTGAGTAAGTGGGTGAGTGGGTTAGTGAGTGGGTGGGTGAGTGAGTGGGTGAGTGGGTTAGTGAGTGGGTGAGTGGGTTAGTGAGTGGGTGAGTGGGTGAGTAAGTGGATTAGTGAGTGGGTGAGTGTGTGTGAGTGTGTGGGTGAGTGTGTGGGTGAGTGAGTGGGTGAGTGTGTGTGTGAGTGAGTGTGTGTGTGAGTGAGTGAGTGGGTGAGTGAGTGGGTGTGTGAGTGAGTGTGTGGGTGTGTGAGTGAGTGGGTGAGTGTGTGTGTGAGTGAGTGTGTGTGTGAGTGAGTGAGTGGGTGAGTGAGTGTGTGGGTGAGTGTGTGGGTGAGTGTGTGGGTGAGTGAGTGTGTGTGTGAGTGAGTGAGTGGGTGAGTGTGTGGGTGAGTGAGTGAGTGGGTGAGTGAGTGAGTGGGTGAGTGTGTGGGTGAGTGAGTGTGTGAATGAGTGTGTGGGTGAGTGAGTGTGTGAGTGAGTGAGTGGGTGAGTGAGTGTGTGGGTGAGTGTGTGGGTGAGTGTGTGTGTGAGTGAGTGTGTGTGAGTGAGTGAGTGGGTGAGTGAGTGGGTGTGTGAGTGAGTGTGTGGGTGTGTGAGTGAGTGGGTGAGTGTGTGTGTGAGTGAGTGTGTGTGTGAGTGAGTGAGTGGGTGAGTGAGTGTGTGGGTGAGTGTGTGGGTGAGTGTGTGGGTGAGTGAGTGTGTGTGTGAGTGAGTGAGTGAGTGGGTGAGTGAGTGGGTGTGTGAGTGAGTGTGTGGGTGAGTGAGTGAGTGGGTGGGTGAGTGAGTGGGTGTGTGAGTGAGTGTGTGGGTGAGTGTGTGGGTGAGTGAGTGTGTGAGTGAGTGAGTGGGTGAGTGAGTGAGTGTGTGGGTGAGTGAGTGCGGACGGGATTTGGAGAGGGACGAGGGAGTTGTGACGAGATGAAACTTGATCTCCCGTCCCCGCTCTCCCCCGCAGAGGCGCAAATTTTGGATCTGTAAGCGACAGCTGATTTAGTCATTGACTCACCAACTCACTCACCAACTCACTACCAACTCACTCACCAAGTCACTCACTCAACAACTCACCCACTCACTCACCCACTCACTCACTCATCAACTCACTCACTCATTCACCTTGTCACTCACTCACTCACCAACTCACTCACTCACTCACCAACTCACTTACTCACTCAAATTGTCACTCACTCACTCACTCACCCACCCACTCACTCACCAACTCACTCACTCACTCACCTTGTCACTCACTCACTCATCTTGTCACTCACTCACGTTGTCACTCACTCACTCACTCACCCACGCACTCACTCACTCGCACACTCACTCACCCACTCACCCACCCACTCACTCACTCACCTCCCCACTCACTCGCCCATTCACTCACTCACTCAATCACCCACTCATCCAGCCACTCACTCACTCATTCACCAAGTCAATCACCTACTCACCCACTCCCATTACCCACTCACCAACCCACTCACCCATTCACCCACCCACTCATCCACTCACTCACCCAGTCACTCACGCACTCACTCACCTACTTACTCACCCAACCAATCACTCTCCAAATCACTCTCCCACTCACCCACTTACTCACCCACTCATCCACTTACTCACCCACTTACTCACCCACTAACTCACCTACTCACTCACCCACTTACTTATCCACTCACCGACCCACGTACTCACCCACTCACTCACGCACTCACCAACTTACTCATCCGACCAATCACCCTCGCAATCACTCTCCTACTCACGCACTTACTCACCCACTCGCCTACTCAATCATTCACTCACCTAGCCACCAAACTACCCATTAACTCACCCACTCACCCACTTACTCACCCACTCACTCATTCACTCACCGACCCACTCACTCACCTACTCACTCACCCAACCAATCACTCTCCCACTCACTCACCCACTCACCCACTTACTCACCCGCTTACTCACCCACTCACTCACTTACTCACCCACTCACTCACCCACTTACTCACCCACTTACTCACGCACTCACTCACCAACTTACTCACCCAACCAATCACTCTCCCAATCACTCTCCCACTCACCCACTTACTCACCTACT